GTTGCATCTAAACGAGACAAAAAGTCCGCTTCTTTGTTTTGGCACGATGTTCTCGCGTAGCGAACGGGAGTTAGGACGTTGTAACCGCACGACAGGTGCACCCACACACCTGCACAGTGCCGTGTATCCGCTTCACGGGCCACGGGTCATAACTTTGCGGACGAGAATCGCGCGCGCGCGCGCGCGTGCGGCGCCCGAACTACAACACATCGCGTGCACCGTGTCCATGCCGCGCCGGCGATTTTTGGACCTGCTGTTTTATCGACAAGTCCGGTTCCGTTATTTATTATTCCCCAGTTATTGATCAGCACGAATCACCGTGCCACCATTGTAAAACTCGGTCGCGGAATATGGAAGCGCTCTCGTCGCGACGATGACAAATTATTTCGCTGCAGAACGGTCGCGTTTCAGACCCGACGACTGCGCGAAAGTCGAACGTTCGCGACGGGTTAATCAAGGTACGCTACGGGCGACACGTCCGCGGGATTTGGAAAAAAAAAAAGAAAGAATTTGTTTCGCGAAAACCGACGAGAATCACTTTATGATTTATAAGCGATCTCACCGACGACGTGCTTCCGGCGTCGAAATCCGGAACCGATTCCGCTACATATCTGTAATGGAAAACAGTTCACGTTCCGGAACGAGAAAAGCTTTATGACGCAGAAGTACATGGCGTATCGAATACGATGATAAAATGCATTTAAGAGCCAAACCTCGATAACGCGATATCGATATTTCGCATATTGACCATTATCGGCCGTTTAATTGCATCACACCGCTTTTTTTCCATATTCTGTTCTCGTTCGGCTTCCGATAGTAATTTAGCGTCTTGCGCGACTTGCGATATTCGCGAATGGTGGCTGAACGGTTCCTCGTTATGGAAAAGTTCTCATTTCCCATCGATCCGCTTCCGGAACCGCTCCCCCGGTCGCGTTACCGGTGACCTTTTGCGTCTTCGCGCTGCTAAATCGCGCGGAGTTTCAGGGCTTTTCGATACGAGCTGCTCTGATAACGAGAAATATGCGCGTGGTATATGACTTTTGTTATCGCACGGTGAGAGCGTAAATCGCGATCAATCGGTTTTCGATGAAAAACAATTCGTTAACTCGAAGCGAATTACGCCGGCGCACCTCAAGAGGAATCGCGCTGACGTTTGCACGCGCGTCTTTCGCGAAACGTCGGACCGTTCACCCGTATCGATTGGCATAACACGTGTCTGGGCTCTATCTGTTATTAAATGGATACATCAGGGCGGCAAATTGATTCATTTGTCGCTCATAGCGTAGCAAGGAAGAAAATAATAGCGTGTCACCGGCGACGATGCTTCCGATTTCTTTTCCTTCTTTTTTTTATTCCGGAAAGCTGCGCAAGTATATTGCCAAAGCTTAAGAGATAATCATAACCGGGAACAAAAAGACAACGATTATGCAAAGTAAAAATTCTTGTGCCCAAATGTTAAAGTTTTCTTGTGTTACCAATCTTTGATTATTACTTCAATAGGAAATTAACGTACGGCTGGTTGTGTTACCTTTTATGTCACGGTTTTATGTGTTATATTTATGTCAATTTAATAATATTAATATTTTCTATGTATTATTTAAAAATGTAATATTATTTTAAGTTCTGTTAACACAATTGCTTAGTTAATTGCTTAGTTAATTGCTTAGTTAATTTAACATATTATATTTGTCACCTCAATATTTTGAGTTAAATTGATATTCAATATGCGTTAGGATAACACATTTTATTATACTTCAGTGTTGATTAACAAAGATGTTAATTTTATTGAATATTATCGGTCACATATTTTACACGTGAAAATTTACAGCACAAGTTGTATTAATTTTAACCGCAGTAACAATTATCATCTTAAGGAAAATTTAAGAAATACGAAATAGATAGTATGTATAGCTAAAGTAAAGAAGTGATATAATAGATAAGATACGTAACTCAAAATCTAAAGCATTTGAAAGAATACACCCTAAAAACTTTTTGCGTCTCATAGGTATCGAGGTAAATGTGCGCAAAATGTCAAATCTAGAAAATTTATTTGAATGTATAAAGCAATAATGAGAGATGGAAAAATGAAAGAGTATGTTTTTTTTCTTCCTTTTCCTCTTATTAAACTAATAATAAAAAAAGAACATATCATATTAATAGTACTTTTTTCAGATAATTTGCAGATAATATCCGAAGATAATAATCGAATTGGAAGCGTAATATACGAAACATAGATTCCGAGTGATCTCGACGACATGTTAATTAATTATAAGCGGGTCAGTGAAAGTCATAAATCTAAGTTACACCGGTTGGACTTGAGTCCCATTAAACCGTTTTTATCGTTACAAACGGAAGGAATCTATCCTCCGTTGCCACGCACGGATGCTTGAAACTCGAATGTTCCCTGGGACCACTTAGGTAAAGAGTAGTAATATCTAAAGGGGCTAAAAGCTTGAGCATTCGTACACACCCATAGGCACCTACTCTCTCAAAAATAAGCTACGGCTACCGTATAACGTGGGGATACAGTCAATGTGCGAGCAACGTCCGATGCAAATCTTCCGCCTCCCTCACCCTTTTCCGTAAATTCTCATAATAAGATTAACGTACTTCCCATTCGCGCGTTTATTCATTCGACGTTCTTTAAGAATCTATAAGATTCACGTTTCCTGCGGAAACTTTTCTTTGAGGTATAAAGTCATCCAGAACTTTCAGTGTTAAGAACGAGTCACTTGATATTAACGCTACTACGAATTACTAGCTGTTTCCTCATTTATAAAGAAAAAGTTTCATTTACTTACGTTCTCGCAGCAGAAAATTAGCCTGTATCGTGTTTTATTAAAAAATACAGTGAAATTTGCCGAGGTATTACTGCCGAAACTTATAAAACTGTATTTTAAGCATCATCGAAGGTAGCAAATATGAAAGATAATATAAGAATTCATGTTAATTCAACAGCCCGGGACTTGTTTCAACGATGAACTTTGCATGCAAAATTCGAGTCATATTCAAATGCTCAGCCGTGGTTAAACTGCCAAAGTTCACGTAGTCCCATAAAAAGAAACGCTATGTTACTCGATTTCTGAATATATTCCCCGGCTTCTAGCCATATCGATTTATGCAACCAAAAGTATGCAAGGAAGTATAGAACAACTTTTAATATCTTTCAAAAGAACTTTTGCCTTTAGTGTCTTCGTCTTTTTACGTTTATATTGACAGAAATGCGCACGAGAAAAGAAGAGAGAGAAATGTCGGGAGCTTTATATTTTATTAAATATTAAATCCATATATAAAATGACTTGTTAAAAGCACAACTTTCGCTAATTTAAATTAACAGACAAGAGTGTTATATGTTTGCTATCATATTCTCTCTCTACGTGAATATAATATAATAAATTCAATTTTTACCTCACAAAGTACGTGAAAAGATCTCTTCATTTCCGAGATCAAATGAATATTTTAATTACAACGTTACCGCACATTCTATCACGTAATTATGCCGTAAAGAATTTTTTTATATAAGAGCAACAACGAAGATAATTCGTTTCTCAAGCGAATATCTTCGCGGAACATCCGATGTCGGCTTTGTAATCCGCGTAAATATCGCTAGTAATTAGCGAGCGATCTACCGCTAATACCTGCGAAACCCCAACAGCACACCAGCTACACTGACATCGTCGTCGCGGGTGCGCAAACACGGCGTAACGTTTCGTTCGCAAAACCTATTCTCCCTAAACTGATCCGTACGCAAAACAGCGGATAAAGGGCGAGGTCATGCAAAGCTCTGCTCCGGCTATCCCCGTACCCGCAAACTGCAGATTAATCTACGATCTGTATCTTACCCGTGGACCGGATACGAACTTGCAAGCTTATCTAATTCGGCCACCAACCATCAATAACTAAGTAGACGCTGACGGTGTTCGTCGGAATCTGCTATTGGTCTCGATAACGCTTACAATGGTCGGCGTGGACGTCATGACGCCCACTCGACTCATTGTCAATTCTAACACAATTCTAACAATAAGTCCGACACCGGCGTGTCCACAAAGGAAAGCCGTCCCGACGAAGACGAATCTGACGGAATGAAAAACAATGAAAATAAGTCGCGAGATTTTTCGCGCGGAAAATTCGACGAAACTCGGCCTCGCCCGGTTCGACCAGGCGGGCGAAGCGGTAACGCCGGATTTATCAGGCGCGGATTTTTGTCGAAAAAGTTGCGCGTTTTTAGTCCGCGTTTCGCTGAATAATAAAAGATTTACGAGACGCCGCGTTTGTGTGAAAGAAACAGTTGCGAACTACTTTCCGCGTAATACAACGTGGCTCGTAAATTTAATAATGCCGATGTGAATTTATATAAAAGCGGCTACGCAACTTGCGCCACGCTCGGGGTGAACGTTAAACATTGTGAAATTTACGAGCGGTAACGCGTAGCATAAAAGAAGAAGCGCCACAATATGGTCGCGCTCTCGGCACGCATTCGGGTTGAGACAGCTAAAAACTTGGGCCATTCAGCGCTGTAATTATTTACCGAAATAAAACGTTATTATATATATAGAGACGCTCTTCGCGTGAGTGCAGAGCGGCTATTGGACGGGCACATTCAGTGCTAAATGAGCGGTATGAATACGGAGCTTTAATTTTATAAACGGCCGGGCGCTCGCGCGCGACGACAACTTGCCGCATTTTCCTCCCTCGCGCGGCAAATGGCTTCCCGTCGTGGCAGAAAGGAGAAATAATCTCAGTCACTTCAACGGTCCGAGTGACTCGAAGCCTTAGGAGCGCGAGTACACGACAAAAGGCAAGTTACGCGATTATTTCCGTTTCATCGCAACTCCGTGTCAGCGAAAGGCTTTAAAGCTCGGCCGCTGCCACCGTTACTGTTACGACTAGTACTACCACTGCGACCGCTTAATGAGTTTCGCGACTTAGTCGCGCGACCGCGACGGCGGACACGCTAATTTCTGACGTTGACATTTTTCTCTGTTGTATATGTCCCGCAGGTACGTACACTCGCGATCAGCGAGTCTTGAGCGGAAGTCTCGTCCAGGGGAGTCGCAACGTCAGCGGCGCGCCGACTTTCGAAACGAACGTGCCGCGAAACGTCACCACTGCAGTTAGTCAGACCGCCTTTCTTCACTGCAGAGTTCATCAGCTGGGCGACAAGGAGGTGAGTGGCAGCGTAATTCCCGCATTTTCGCGACCCGAACCCCCGTAGTCGCCGAGGCGACTCGCTAATTATTTGCTGGAAAATCCGACGGCATTACCGGCGAAAGCTCTGCGCGAACACCAGCCACGTCGTCGTGAATAAACAGTCGAAACGAACAAATGCCCGGCAACTTCTTGCCGTAACATGCTTACGGATCTTTCAGACGGATTACTATATTTAATTTTCGCGGTGAACAAGCATGTGCCGTTAAAAATGTGGGAGGGACCGTTGTTTGGCGTTATCGACTATTTCGCAACGAAAGTGATTTGCGATTGACAGACGAATCAAGCTCGGTAAATCAGCTTGTCGAGTGGATTAAGAGATCTCGTTGGTTTTTACATCGCAAAAAATACCGTCCTATTTTTTCCCTCAGAGGAAAAAAAATTATACGACTCAGCGCGAGAATAATTTTAACGTTCGAGCGTTAGACTCGGGACGGTACATCCCCATACGTTTGCCGAGTTCACTAGCGACGCAGGAATTTATCGAGAATATCGGACGCGAAGTGTGCAAAAAACTGAAAAAACTTGTTTGACCGCTCGAGGATTCATAACTTTTTAATCGAGACTCTTAAAATGGAGCGTGGATATTAGGTAGGGGTATGCGGAGGGGGGGAAAAACGAGTCCGCAATATTCTCGTCGCGCGTCAAAGGTGGAGCGGAGATTGCTGTTGCGGTTATGGTTGCTTCATCGTTTTTCAAAATCCTCGATCCCGGGCATACCTCCCCTGTCGGGGCTATATGGATCCGAGGAGAGAGCTGCTGGGTTAACATTACCGCAAGGCTGGGCTGCGGTTTCTGGTTAGGTCGTTGATAGAATATGCATGACGCCTGTTTGAAGAGTTAAACCTGCTCAAAGGCGGATGGAGGTATGCCAGCTATTATCTTCTCGGATTTTTGACTCAGACTGCGGAATTGATCAATGCTTGATTAAATTGAAAAATACGCCGCGCACGCGTTCGTTCGCGCTCTTTAATCAATTTATTACCTGCGCATCAATTATTCGTGGATTTCAATGAGAAGGGAGAAACGTGACGAGCGCGCGAATTAAATAGACTGCAAAACGTCGCAGTAATGTCGCTAAATGCGTTCGCGATAAATCGCATAGAGGTGAGCAATTAGTAGCAATTTACGCGGCACCGTGTGTCAAAGCACGAATTTTAGCGTCATTCTCATACACACGCTGCATCAGGGCTTTAATATTTAATCAAGCTACGCAATCTTCGAGTTAGCGCACTAAGGTTCTCGCGGCATACGAAGATTTGATATTTCGGGAAGTTTCAGCTACCGCATAGCTTCCGCGGTATACGTCGAAGGATATATCGGCATTACCTGCATAACAAGTCTCGATATTACGTTATTCGATAAATACCAATATCGCCGTGCGCACGGGGTTCCCTGAAGTTTCGGGGAATATTACGTTTATTGCATTAAGGGCCACGAGTAGCTTTCGCATCGCGTTTCCTCTATGATCTCTTGAGCATCAGGAACGTCTCTGTTCGTTCGAATATTCCATTGTTCGCAATTTCAGCTTGTCGTAAGTCAAACTGATCAACTTCATTTTTTGTAGAACTCTTAAATTCGTAAGATTAAGCGCTAATTGTACGTGCCAATTATATATGTGGTGCTTTGGGACCATTCAACAATCACGTCGCACTACGAGAGGGCTCATCACGAACGTCACTTAGATGACATTACTTGTAAATATGGATGTGCGTGGTTATTCGCTTTCTTTGCAATCGTGACGAATTTGGTTACATTAGGTAAACATTTTTAAATCATCAGTAGAGAATCATAAGGTGCTTGTGCACGGATGTTTAATATATTAATATAATATATTAATATAACATATAATATTAATAATATCAAGTTATTAATATGATTGTAGGTGGGTAAAGTTCACTATGTATGCGAAATACACATTTATACTTTAAATTTCAAACATTTTTAAGTTTTGACATAGTTTTGTATTAATAATCAAAATGTTAATTTTTTAATATTTATTCTTTAAAAAATACAACTTTTACTAATCAAAATTATAAAATATGGTAACTTTGATATTATATTCTTAGGAATGATTTGTATTTTAGAAAAAAATATTAGCATACAGTCTAACAATTATTTACAATTATTATCTACAATATGGTTACAAACTATTGTTCTTATTCTATGTGGTGGCGGGGAAGGGAGGGGGGTGGGATAATTCCACATGTCACGTAGAACATCGGGAAAGGATAGGTAAATGTGAAGCAAAATTATGACGAAAGAAGAATATTCAAATTTAGTGCGACGTAATTGTTGTTGAATGACCCTTTGGTGCGGAAATTACGAAATTGATGAGAAGCGGAGTCGATCCCTTTGGCGTCTGAGAAGCTCACTCGCCACGAAGATCGAGAGACGAATATGCCGTCCGCGTAATTATTACAACCCCAGGCGAAATTTCACCTGAACCTGGAAATGCTCTCTTTTACGGGCGAATTGTTGCGTAATGTCTTGCTAATCGTGGGAAAGGATGGCTGGACTGATTACTCGTTAACGACGCAATTATTCACCAGCGGGTCAATAACGCGAGATCCGGCTATTTCCGGGAGGTGGGGGGGCGAAGATGAGAACGCTCGATCACGCATCGCCGATAAATTGCGGAACGCCGTGACCGTATTTTCGTCACGATAATCGCTATTCAACTGTGATGGATTCTCCACGAACCCCATGCGCACATTATCGCGCCAAAATCGAATCTTAAACCCTAATCCCACATTATAGGTTAATTATCCACGTAACTTCGCATAATGCGCGCGAATGCCTGATGTAAGAAAGAGAACCATTATTACAACGCAAACTTCCTTCTCGAAGAAATTGCGGTAGTCAAAGATAATTTTTCTCTTTCTCTTTCTCTCTCTCTCTCTCTCTCTCTCCAAACAAAAGCGACACGAACAACGTGAGATGCGGGAGTGTCATTATTACACTTTGCCACCCCCTCCGCCCGGTTGGTGCTGTGAAGGGTAGTATTGCGCGTACGAAATCGTAGCTGCTGCATCTCGTCGAGTCGAGACCGCGCTCGGTGAAAGCTCTACGCATCAGTCGAATAACTCGCTGCTCTCGCGAGCTCTTCGCTTTACGAGCAAGCGCGCACGGCTCTTATTAGAGGAGAAGCAATTGCAGCATAGCGCCGGTTACGAACGTAATAAACGTAGCCTGCGCGCCGACCAATTACGACAATTCGCGCGTTTCCTCGACGATGCTGATTCCCGATCGCGAATGCAGGGAAAAAGGCTGTCATTGGTCAGCCTTCGTGGGAAAAAGCACCCGGGTCCCGACTGTCCCGGGAGTGACGGGAAACGTCGACAGCCAGACGGTAGGTGCCCGAAGTGGCCGCGAACGTCGACGAGTCGAATCGTAATAAATTACAGGCGGGAACCGCAATCCGCTTCTTGCGCGCGACCGGCTCCCTTATCGCGCCCGTCCTTGGCGTACAAACGCGCTGCCCAAATGATTGGTTTAAGGTCCACCTAAAGCTGGACCATCATGAAGCCTTCGATGGTTATGGAGTATGAAGAAAGGTCGTTTCTCCGCGAAGACCCGACCGATGGCCTCGGAATCGAACGGTGGGAATTATTATTCGAGGATGAGGAATCAAATCGTTCGCTCTCTTTCATTACAATAAAACGTTTCGAAATAGCGCGATATTAGCGGATAATAACGGTTCCGCCCTTGCAACAAGAGCTACAGGAAAGATCCGTTTTTTCGACGGCCTGAGGTAGCTCCCCAGTGGACTTGTGACACACGAGACCGCGACGTTTCTCCGTGAGAAATATCAAGTGGCAAAGACGAGAAATATCAGGCGCTGTGCACCTCGCAGGTTAACGCGAGAGACTGCGAGAGTCGGCGGTTTGACTTGCGGAAAGTTAGCTGCTTGTATGGACTTATCGCGGAGCAAATGTTTGGAGTTAACGAAGCTAACTGAGACATTTGCCTCAGTCCTTTTCCAACTTAGCAAAGCTGTTTACAATGTCCCAGGGTCTTGTAAGCTCACAGCTACAGCTTTCCTCCCTCGACATTACGGTCGACGCAACGTAAGGTTTATATTTATGTAATACACACTCGGAATGATTAAGAATACTTAAGCTAAACCATATTATAGGCGAAGAAGAACGTCCATTTGTAATTCGTAGTATGTTCGATGTTACGTAACCATAAGTTGCTACGACCGTGACGCGAGGACTAAGCAGGGATTGAGGCTCTAAAGCCGGTATTCATAGTCATAGGTCTTATATTTAAGACCATCTTAAGTTCATCTTCAGATGTTTCGTAGCTATTGAAACAAGCTGTACAGCTTCTGAAGATGAACTTAAGACGGCCTTTGATACAAGATCCGACTATGAATACCGGCCTAAGTCTTATCCAAAGGATGAAAGTTCTAATCCTGAAAAGCGGGACAGTCACTATATTAATACGTATCAGTAGGGTCTCCTGGCTGTAAACTTTGCATTGTAAATTCAAGATTAAACTGCTAAGGTTTCTGTTAAAAGAAGCGGAAAAAAAGATGTCAAGGCGGAAGGAAAAGAAGATTAATTTCAGTAAACTGAATTAGTTGTAACACGTAGACATCTAAAACTTTGGCAGCGTAAGCAATTTTAATTGCTGCAGTAGTAAACTTTTTTGCTTCCGTAGCAAAAGAGTTTGCTACTTAAAATTGTTGATGTTGCTAAAATTTACCTATATTACAACTAATTTAGCTACCGCAGCTAATCTTTTTTTGCCGCGTATCGTTCCTTGCATAGAATTGTTTCCACTCAATTTTTAATCTTATAACTTATCAATCCACTCAGGAAGACTGTAAAATTTGTGATTTTTCAATTGTCTCGTCTAATTAAATAGATCTAATTTCCTCCAATTACGCGTTAGTTTGATTCCAAATTACAGACGTCAACGAACACATCGACGAAAGCGAGGTAACGCATC